AAGAACCCAAACCCCAAGGTTTATCAAAATCATCCATATTATTCCTGTAATCGATAGAAATTAAATAAAAAAAAAATAATAAAATAAATAAAAAAGTATATAATAATAAATAAAAAAGTATATAATAATAAAATAAACCAACCATTTAAGATCCCAATCATTATAGGGAAGACCAGATCCACTATTAAAAGAAGGTAATAAAGCGTTTCCCAAGTCTAACGCTTTTTTTAAAAATACAGGATCATTTGAAAGTTCGTATGCACTCAATAAACCACCCAAATAACGGATAGTAGTCTCAAATACACTAATTCGACCATCACTTGTAGTAAAATCCACGGTTTCAACGAAATCTCTTGAACGATTAAACTCATCTTTTAAATCCATTATCCAAATAGTATCCAAAGAATCAACAATGGTTGCACCCCAACCATTAAAATTATCACGACTATAATTCGTTACAGGTTCTAATTCATCTTTTCCCCAAGCATATTTCGTGTATCCACTCCAAGCATGTAGAAAACCTTTTTTTATAGAATCACGTCTGGATTCACGAATTAATTTTTCATTTAATGTTTCAGGAATATCAAAATCATATTGTATTTTAGGAAGACGGGTAACATTTTTAAGATATACGTCAGATCCAAGATAATATGAAATTTTTAAGGAAGGGTCAAACCAAAGTGAATAATCAAAAATATCAGAGATAAAAATGAATTGGTAAGATAAGAACGTAATTATAAGTAAAAGAATTAAAGTAATTCGAAGGCGAGCATTTAATCTCCATGGTATTTTAGCAGTAAAGTTTCGCATTGCTCGCTAAGCTCTATATTACTAAATGATAATTAGAGAATAAAAAAAAAAAAAAAAAAAAGAGTGTAGGAAAGAAAAGAGAAGACCTTATTTTTCTTGTACGTCAATCGTTAATCAAGTATTTTAAGCTAAATTTGGTTCGTGTAATGTGTGTACCATCTTTATCATCACATTATACATTACCAATAATAAATACTGAAATAAGATTAACACGAATGTATAGTGATAGAGAGCGAACTAAGCCTCGGATTCGATTATTTACGTTTTTAAAGACCCTATAAATGCGGTCTTAACGATCCTACGAGGACGGTATCATATAAATTCACATAGGTATAATTATAATGATTTTGGATCCCGTGAACGATTTGCTTAATCGTCAGTCGATCAAATAAGTCTCTTATGGTACGTAAATACGGTAAAAAGCAAATCGTTAGCATATTAGTGATATTATGTTGTGTACGTATCACTGATATGCAAATTGCAAAATAAAAGTTTAACCTTGAGGTTAATATGTATTTATTGTTAATTACTTCTACAATTCTACAATAAGAGATTTATAATGGACTAGTTCATAGTTTAAAAACGCTATCGCAGCTTATTTCCGTT